AAAAAAAAACTAATTGTCGAAATAAATTTTTTCATTATTTATCAAACCTTCGCCTTCATTATAAAGAAAATCAAGTGGTTGTATAAGAGCAGAACGAGAATCAGGTGGATTACATAAAATAACTTTACAATTTTCCATATTAAGTTCATCAAAATTAATATCAGTAAAATTTTCTTTAAAAATTTTTATACCTATTAGATAATATTAACTTAATTATTATGAAAAACCGATCACTTCAAATAATTTACGTTTATCTGATGTTCCTAAAGTTTTAATTTTAGCTTGAATATCTCGAATATTTTCATCTGTACGACCACCAAATGCATAAATTTTAGATTCAAGTTCATCTGTAAGTACAATTAAAAGTTGAAGAAGTAGACCTTGAAAAATAAAATAAAATAAAATCATTGTTTGTTTTGTTTTTCAGTATTTTCTTTTATCATATATATAAAAACATACCTCCACTAACATAAGCTAAACAAATATTATCTTTTTTTGTTAATAATTTTCTAACTGTATGTGCAGCAACACAACTTGATTTATCTTGTAAATATAAATGATTATCACGAACAAGATAATGATTAGCAATACGTTGTTTTTGTGTATAATGAAATACAAGTAAATTTGAACAATGATAATCAACATAGAATGTTCGTTTATCCATTTCTGTTATTGTTTTAACTCGTTTCATTTGTTCATTATTTTCAAAGACTTTTATTACAGTTTCCATACTTTAAAGAAATAGAACAAAATATAAATGATTTAGTTTCCAACAGAAATGAAAAATATGTCAGACTATATTAGATCATATTGCAAAGTTCCAAAAGTAAACAAATACGTTTACTACAAATTTTGTACTAGACATAGGTTTTTGCGAAAGGAGTTTGGAAAAGAGGAAAAGTCGAAATAGTTAAAAGCTTTTGCAACTTCATTACCGAGTGCATTACTTCGATTTTTATTATTGCTTTTTTAAATACCAGAAGAGTTATGGGAACAACACGTTTAATGATGATTATTGTAGCATAAAGAGTGGTCTCTCGAGTAACGTACCGAGAGTGAAATAAATTTGCTCTTAATTTGCTTTTTGTGAAAGAAACGGAAGAACTTTATCGTTCACCGTACCTGACCGTTTTACAACAGTAAAAAAAAAATACTTTTTGAATTATTCTTGTTTTTGGCTGAATTACTATGATCTTATATATTTTAAACAAATAACGCCAAAAACAATTTGAGTTCATGCATAGCTTGTGAAAATGGTAGTTGATGTTCTTTGAAATTTATTAGTTTCAGTCAAATATTTTAGTTAAAAAAATTTCATTTTTCAATCTTTTTTGATGAAAGAATCCGAAATAAGTCTAAAACATTTTAACAAATCTGTGATGATAGAGTTTTTTATGAAATATATTTTTGTGAATTTTTTAGTCGAAAATAATTGATAAATACCAACTTTTCAAATTCTAAGAGATTTTTTTCTAGAGAATATGGTAGTTTCTAACAAAAAAAAAATCCTCATTGCTTTACAAGTTGTTAATATGATTTAACAGAGTTTGACACTTTTCCATTTCTTTTGCAATTCATATTACTATAAAAATAAAAAATTTGAATGCAATTTTTTTCTCATGACATACTCAGTTTTAATTAGATTAACCCAAGCGTAAACTGGTAATTCAGCTGAATGTTGTTGAACTTCACGTAAATTTTCTGGTAATAAATCTTCAAGTGATAATGCTTGTGATTTTATTCTAAACAAGAAATTATATTGAATATATATCTCGAACTGCTTCTCGTCTGGTTTGTTTTTGTGTATCTTTACCTATTACGGGCTAATGCTGCAGCAAGTCGTGTTCGTTCTTGTAAAATAGCATTTTCAATTGTTGATACGAGTTGATCATTATTTGATAAATCTTCTTTATCATCGATGTCAACAGGTTCATCACGCGGTTGAAACTTACGACTTAAATAATCATATAGAACTGTTGAAACAAGACTTAATTCATCTTTTAACTAAATATTATAGAAATATTTTATTGAAAAAATAAGAATTCAAAAAAAAGGAAATTTTTTTTACATCAGGATAATTTGAAAAGAATTGAGTTTCATCCAGAAGTTCTTCAACAATTTTTTGATCTAAATCAAAAGTAAATGTTATTACGGCAAACAAAAACAAAACAAAGAAACCAATCTGCTATTTGATAAGAAGATTTTGATTCAAGAGTATTTATAAAAATAAATTCTTCATTTCAAATTATGAATGAAGACAAATATCAATATAGAGAGTATAATCACATAAGCTGTTTTAAATCAACTATTTTAACAATCATGAATGAGTAAAATCTTGTTTAATCATCATTGTAATAAAAATCAATACCGATTATACAACGAAATATTCCTGCTAAAATTTAACATTAAGAGTTATAGAGAAAATTATCTTTTACTAATGATGCGGAACTAATTAAATATTTTTTTTTTCTTTAGCATTTTTTTTTTCAATTATAATCATAATTTAAAATCACTTACATCGTAAAACAGAAAAAGCTAATTTAAGTGTACGTCGTTTTTGTTTATCACTTGCATAATCAATTTTTGGTACATCAAGTGTTGATTTTTTAATTATTACTTGTTCATCTTTTGTACTTGCTAATGCTTTTAATATAGGATTAATTTGTTCTTCTTTTAAACAATGATATATTCGACTTGCATAACGATAAACTGTTTGAGTATATTCTGATGGTTCTTTACGAAAAAGTTCTTCAAGTAAAGCTCGATTTATAGAACTATGTCGATTAAATATTTGACCGAATTCTTTCAAACGCATACGATCATGTTCATTTAATTGTTTTTCTGATGTTGCTTTTGGTGTTTCACGATTTGTATTATGATCATTAGAAGTAATTAATGGTGTTGATGTTGTACTTGGTGGTATTTGACGATTCAACATTTTAATAATGAATAAATTTTTTCACAATGTCACGCAATGTTGCGTGTTATCTAGAAAAACAGATCTTATTCTAATGACAGGAAAAAATGCTTAATGTTCATTTTATTAAATAGATGCCATAGAAGTGAAATAGATATTTATTTTTTCTTGTAATAAATGCATGATGAATAAAATCAAGTACATCGAAAAGTCAGAGATGATCAGTCATTGGATGTGATGTTTACTAAGCAGCAGCCTCTGTTTTTTTATTCTGTTGGCAACGACATCATCAATGGCGCTTTGATATGTATATTTGTTTTACTATGATATATGTAGTAGTTTATAATCGACTAATTCATATCATAGTAAAAGTTATTTTATTCATTTGATTATAACATTGTCTTTCATTAACTAAAAGAAAGAAGAATCAAATTATTAAAATTATCGACAGTAATTAACTTTAGTACACTTATATGTTTAATTGAATGTATTCGTTGTACTTAAAATAGATCTTTGACCTTCAAAAAAATGCTACATCAATGATATGTATAGCAACTATTTGATCGATTGATGATAGCACTAAGCACTAGTAAATAACTAATAGAATGATGTTTTTACAGATAAGAGATGATTGTATAGTGAAATCAAGTATAAAATCTAAAAAGTTTTTTCTTTTGCAATCTTTTCATTAATAAGTTTGAATTCGTTGATAATGTTGTAATAGATAGAACTTAGACACGTAACTTCAATATGATCGTTCTATAATTGTAAAGGTTTAGATCAAGCAAAGTTGATGAACAATAACTATTTCGGAGTGATGTACGAAAATATAAATATTATTTTCAATTGATTTTTGTGAGATCGGTATCATTCTATTCTTGAGATATTAGTTTTTTTATGTTTTGATCGGAATGCGGGCAAATGATAGCGTGTGATGAAATTATTTGGTATCTCTTTATTTTATACCATTTCTTGTAGGCACATTTAATTCGAATCCATATTATTGTTTCAATAGTCAATAAAGTTCTCTATCAAGTTCCAAAAAACTATGTAGAACTTAGTTTTTAAGAGTAACATCTTAAAAACATAAAATTCTGAATAGAATGAGGAATCATCATATTATCTACAACCTTTCCTTAAAACGTTATAAACATCGCAAAGCGAAATTTAGTTTAGTTTTACTAAAAAACGTATTTTGTTGTTTTGTACGATGTTTACTTAAAAACTGATTTTATCTCAGTCTTCTAGAACCTGAAAACTATCGTATTTCATGTCTTAGAGATCTTCTTCTCATACTTCATGTATAAAGTATTGTAGAAGAAAAAAAAATAAAAAATAGATTGGTCTTATATTTTTTAATCAATATGGTACACTATATTCAAGTGCGTAGCTAAAAATATCTCATGATATGTCTGATCGTCATGGCACATCGCTTGGCATCATCTACATATTGGTTAATCGTAAGAGCAGAAATTAACTTTCCAAAATTTATGTCAACATAGAGACTATGTAAAACTATCATTAATGAAACTTGCATTGTTAGAATTCCAATTAGCACATAATCATCGAGAAAATATTTTGTCTCCTGGAGTTATAATTCTATCTTAATTGGTTGTTTATACACAGTTGTAGAATTTAAAATATAACTTTCCTGTCATAAAACTTTATGTCTCTAAAGTAATTTATCTTCATCAAACATATAAAATTACAGCATTTTTACTCTTATCATATTAAATAAAAAGAAGCAGAATATTAAAAGAATTCGGCAATAAGTTTATGTACCTCAAGAGAATCCATAATTTAGATTAGGTACTGATCATAAAAAGCTAGAATTCGTTTTTCTCTCTACCATTTATCCTTTCATTATAAAGTCCAGTGAAAAATAAAATAGAGAATCCTGTGGGCATGTATTGATGTTCAATTTTATTCTTTTCATTTTAAATACAAGATAGAATATTCCTTTTTCGACTTTATTGATCAAGACAATAGTGACATCAAAATGAGTTTTTATTGCTTAAATGTTGTTCTCATGAAGCACTTTTATTTTGTTTAGGTCGATTGTTTGATATTTTTCAAGAATTTCTTAAATAGGACCATTACTAACAGATTTTGACAGACAAATTTTTGTTGGGTCTTCATAAATAATATCAATGTTTTTTCCTAATAAATACCCAATAAGAAATGCGTCAATATCATTGAAATCATTTTCTTTTTCTAATTGTTGATCATTTTCATATGCTCGTTTACCTAAACGAGGTGAAAATGCTAATAAACTTTTTGATGGATAACGATTATTATCACGAGCTCTTCGCCAATGATGAAAATAAGGACGAGATATTGATGCTCGTCGATAACGATCAAACATATTTGAAAAAAGATTTTTCGGCAAACATTCAGGATCACTTTCTTGTTTTTCAATAGATGATAAATCTGATGATAATAAAGACGCACTTCGTTGTATATCATCTAATTTATTTTCATTTTGACCATTTTTAATTATTGAAAATGATGATATTATTTGAATCGATGTTAAAGTAAGAAGATAAATGAAAACTAAAGAAGAATAAAAAAAACAGCAAACTGCTTTAATTTCAATTGATTTTCGTTTACCCCATAAGTTTTGCATGGTGTTAATCAAAATAATAATCTTCGTACACAAATGGTGACGTTAAAGGGAAATAATTGACAATATCGTTTTCTTTATATTTCTTCTTTTGTTCTTTTTTTCTGATACACGTAGTTTCTAAATCATATGCAGACATGCCAATTTTCACCTACATAAATCTCTATGAATATGTCAAAGAAATGAAATATTGAATATTTATCTGACAATTAGTGCGACAGTGAAATAGTGTTGACAGAAATAAAGGATTACTATAAATTTGAAATTTATTCTTGTATGAGTCCTGAAATAGAGCTTTTCTATATTCTATTTAATTAAACATGCAATAGACCACTTAAGCATATATGTATATCTTAGTATTCAATAGTACTGAATAATTTATAAAAAAAATTCTTTTTCATTTTGAATACGAAATGCTTTCTCTTCTTTTTTTTTTGAAGGTGTTTATGAATTAAGAATATTTTAACTAATGGATGCTGTAAGAGTTATTATCTTTTCATGATATAGTACAATTTTACATCGGCATAATTTAATTAAAAATAACTCTATAAGATAATGTTAGAAAAAACAAGAAGATATTTAAAATCGAAAATGTAACCATAATAATAATGGATTAGATGAATGAGACATTGATATTCATTGGCATCTAATATTGATTAAAAAAATCAAAGCTGTGATAATTTTTAAACAATTCTTTTACCTTATTTTGAGCGATCGAATTTTAATTCATTTCATGCGGAATACCTGGAATAGCATAATGTATATATGAACAATTTGATTCGTTCGCGACATGATACAGAAAAAGGCTCGAGATTTTTACACTGTACATGTATTTCAATTTCAAAGAGTATTTTTCAAAAATCATTAGTGCGTTTTTCAGAGACAATCTCTAAGAAAAGTTTATTCTGAACATGCATAGCTTTTTTACAAAATAAAGTTCATTCACTGTTAGTAATGTGAGTGAAGACTAATATAGAAATGAAAAATTCTCTTGTAATTGAATAAGAAAGTTCAAAACCGAATCCAGAATGGTCTCTCATGCAGTATTGTTTTCTCACATATTTCTGTATTGGTCAAAGCTTATATACACAGTATACACACTAAATGTCTAGATCTAATCTATGGTCGAATTTTAGGTTTTTGCTTATTATTATAACAGAGATACAAGTGATGTTAAAGTTATAAAAAATTTTTGAAATTATCATACATGAAAAAAAATGTAGGCATTCACGAGGAATATACGTTTACTTTTCTAGATATAATTTTTCTGTTTTGTAATTTGTTCACACCATTATCAATAGAAAAACAATTATATGATCTGAAATGTATTGATCTCAATATAGATAATGTGGAATTTTCTGATATTTGACCAATTGAGAATGTATGAGATGCAATTAAGAACAGACTTAGAGATGAGAAATTCGACGACGAATTAGAGTTGAAAAAATGAAGTAGTACACCAATGAAAATTGTTTATAGCAGTAAATTGTGAGTACATGAGGGACAAAATACTGAGCTGACTGAAACAAGTGATAGACCAAGATGTAGAGTAAATATATAAGTATTAATGAATGATTTCTTTTTCTATTATCTATTTAAAAGAAATTCGATTTGTTAATCTATTTTCGTGCGGTATTATTAATAAAGCGTCAAAAAATATTTAAAAAAATTTTATAATTTAAACATCACATGTATTTGTATAATAACAATAAGCCAAAAGTTGAAATTCTAACATAGAGTAGATCTAGTAGGGTCAAAACTTATGTTATACTCTTTTCCGTTTTTAACTCATAGCTTCTGATACTTTCCAATAGATCAAAAGTGAACAATTATCTTGTTTAAAAACTTTCAGATTATCTATTATCTACCTGACTTGATATTAGTTTGTTGTATTTTTTGAGTTTGGTAATCTATAAAAATAAATCAAAAGATTTAATTGATAACTAAATTAAAATGATATAACAAACTTTAATGTTGATATTGTTGTTTTTGGAAGTGAATCTGATCTGTTGATCTATGTAGAATATAAATTAATATGTCATAATAAATCATATATCTAGATGAGATTTATAACCTTCTCATTTTGTTTAGTTTTAATTTCTTTGTTTTTATTTTTATCTGGTGAAAGAAAAAATGGTGACGTTGATGAAGTTTTTTTCATAGAATTTTGTGCATTAATTTTTCTATTATCATCAATATCATTTGTTGTATTCATCCAACTAAGTTTTCGAAGATCAAAACTACATAAATTATTTATTATTGGCATTTGATCAGGTAATTCAATTATTTCATTAACATATAATTTATCATCATCAAATGATAATTCGTGTGATGATTCTAAATTTGGAATAGTTGTTAATTGCTGCCAAGATTGTGTTATTTGATTAAATAATTGTAGATCAGCTACAATATATGGTTTATGAGTATGTGGATTAATATTAAAACCACCAGCAACATAAACATTATGTCCATGAATTGTATCATTTGGATCAACAAATACTAATGGTCGAACACGAACAATATTTAATTCAGGTGCATATTGCCATTGTTTATCTTGTGGATAATGAAGTATAAGATGTTCACCATGAATAATTGATCGATTACCAAGAACATCATATCCTAAGAAGAGAAATTTTTTTTATATTATGAAAAAGGAAATATATTAATTACCTCCAATGCAATGTAATACACCATTGTGTGCACCAACACCTGGCCCAGTTGTAGGCGCCTATATAATATAATATTATATGATTATTTTATATTTTTTTTATTGAATTTTTACTGGAAGACTAGGTAATTTTATCCATGTTTCATTAGAATTTTTTATTTTTAAACAATAACAATCACTTAATGGTCTATTATCAAGATCATTTCCACCAACTGAAAAATATTCAAAAATATTCTATTGAATATTTAAATAGAATCTGTACCTGCATAAATACATTGTTCATCAATACATAATCCAAAACCAATTGCCTAAAATATAGAGACAAATATTTCCTTTGTCATAACTTCACTATTGAAATCAAATTTCTACAGATGAAATAGTACTTTTTACAAATTGTATATTTCCATTGGATGAACTAGTTTTCCTATTGATGAGAAAATACTGTTGTTTGCATAAATTCACTTGAACATCAAAATTTAAAACGAACTCTTGCTCGTTTCGAGTGAAAGTCTCTGATTTATCGAATGAAAATCTGAAATTATTATTGTTGTAATTTTTCATCAAGATATATTCATATTTAACAAATTTCTTAAGTTTTGGATGTGACCGTTTGTCTTCTCTTGACTCACACTCGTATTAAGGTTACCATCGAGAAAATCCATCATTTTATGAATCTATCAAATATTTCAAAATGAAAAGAAAATATCTGAACTTGATAGAGACACGTACAAGGTATGAACTTTCGAATAAACAATTACAACAACTAGTCTCTTATTTTCATTCGATGAGAAAAGACTTATACCTCAAACAAGAGGGATTTTATTGCAAAACTATTAGTACAAAAACCAGTACATCCAATAGAACCAGAATGAAGATATACAGTTTTATTTTTAATCAATGACTATCCGAATACCTGATGCATTAACACAAAAAAAAAGGAAAAATCTATCAAATCGTAATATACAAAATGAAAATAATTTCAATGACTTGCTCCGTTCGGTAATGCTTGTGTAGGAATTAATTTGTTCGTTTGTAAATCATATTTGTAATCGCTAAATATAAATTCTCTTATGCGAATTATTAATTACAAGAACTGCTTACTGTGAAGCTTTTTTTCTTTCCGGAATTTGATGATCGTAAATATAACCTATCGAGCAATGAGATTCTTAACAATAGAAAATATATTTTTTTAATATACCTCCAACGATATAAATATATTTTTCTGTATGAACAATAGCAAAACGTTTTCTTAATTCTATATTTTCAAGTTCTTTGAGTGCATAATTTGTAGATATTGAAGTATCAGTTACATTTTTTTCAAGTGTTGCTGAATGAATAACTAGTGATGGTTTACCGGATTCTAGTTTTTCATGTCGAATATCTTTTAATAGACCGAATCCTTGTCGAAGACCAATTATATTATATTCTGATATTAAAAACACAACAATAATTTTTATTAATCAAAATATTGTTTAAGAGAGGAACATTATTGATTACCTGCATAACATTTATCCTATTTATATATTAAGTAAGTATTTCATTTTTAGAAACTAGATTTTTTTTTTTAAAAATAAGTATTAGGTCGTACTGTATATTTTGATTTACATTTGATACTAGATGAAATTTTTTCTCTAGTTCGTCGTTGTTCTTGTACGGATATAATCGGTTCACGTACACAATTTATTTGTTCAATAGATTTTTTTTGAGGACTTATTAGTAGAATGTTAGAATTTATTTTCGGTAATTTTGTTGACAGATTATTATTTCGACACCAAGGTACTATATTGGATATTGAATCGAACAATCTAAGATTCATTTCAATGAAAAAAAAAAAGCTTTAAACTAACAAAATTTAATTATAGGCGCCGAGAGAATACAGTAATGTTTAGTTATATATGTATCAAACAGATGTCGTATTCTCTTCATTCTTTCCTTCTCTAAACAATGGCGGTAATCAAGAAAAGGAATAAAGAAAATCATAATACGTAGTACGATATGTAAAAGACGAAAATGGACGCGTCTATTGCATTTTCACTTTTAGTGTATCTTTCTTCTAAACATTTCAATAAACTTTCGATTTTTTACTTTTACTTCTTTGTTTTTTATGTTTTCCTTTCATTATCTAGATGTCGACAGACACAACAGCAATAGGAAATCCTAATAATGAAACGACGAATACTCGTCGTGTTGAACCACCTGTAAATGTTTATGTACGTATTCGACCATTTATTGGTGATGAACTTGATCGTGGTGAAAGTCAAAATATGTTATGTATTCGTGATGAAAAACGTATTGCTGTTAAACTTTATCCAACAGCAACAAATAATATTCGACCAGCACAAACATCTTATAACGAATATGAGGTTCGAAAGATTCTTTTTTTTTCTTTTTTACAAAAATATCGAACATTTTTATACGTATAGGTCACTAGAATATTTGATCATAATTGTACACAACAAGAACTTTTTGAACAAATTCTTGAACAACCAACAGATGAAATATTTACTGGTTCTAATTGGCTTCTATGTACACTTGGTCTTACAAATAGCGGTAAGAAGATTGATCATAGAAAAGAAACAGATGATATTAAAATAACTTGATTATTAGGTAAAACTCATACGATGTTTGGTACACCAAAAGATCCTGGACTTATTCCTCAATGTTTACAACGTATATTTTTACATGTTGGTTATAATATTGATACAAAAGTTTTATATAAACCTGATGGCTTAGAAAACTTAGTACAAACAAATATGAATAATATTCAAGATGAAATCAATTATCGTAAATATATATTTAAAGATGATAAAGATGATTATGTATGTGTAATATTATTATTATTTTTTTTTGTTGATTAAAAATATTAGTTTTCTTTTAAATTTAGCGTCGAAATCGTTTACAAAATATTGTTCAAGATCAACAATCAATTCTTGATGATCATTCAGTTGAAGGTAAAAACAATACAAAAAAAAAAGTATTCGTTTTTCATTTATTTTCTAACATATAGATGAACATTATTCTGTCTGGATATCATTTTTTGAATTATATAATGAAAATGTACTTGATTTACTTATTAAACCAAGTGCAATGAAAAAACGTAAACCATTACGTTTAATGCAAAATAGTGAATCAACAATCATAAAAGATCTTGTACAAATTCCAGTTTTTGATTTAAAAGAAGCTGAAGATACAATTCGATTTGGTTATGCAAATCGTGCAACATCAAAAACAGATTTAAATGAAGCATCATCACGTTCACATGCTGTACTTTGTATTACATTAATTACATTTGATGAATTTGAAGAAGAACCAACAATGAGTCATATGTGTAAGTTTAGGTTTTAAAAATGAGTTTTCAAAAAAAAAAAAAACAATATTTTTTTTGTCTCTTTATAAGATATTTGTGATTTGGCTGGAAATGAACCATCAACTGGTACAGGAAAACAATTAGCTGAAACATGTAATATAAATACATCATTAATGACATTTAAAGATTGTATTCGAGTTTTAAATGAAAATCAAACAGCTAAGTAAGAATTTTTTAAAATTACAGTGCTCGAGAAACGTCTCGCTATCAGGTGCAGAGTGTCTAAAATTTAATCCTTTAGTCTTATAGTTTGATCAGCCTTCATACAGAGAAGCTAGAAGGTCAACATAGATTTTTTTTTCTACAGATGAGGATATCTCAGCATAAAAATAAAATCTTTCCTGCATCTCAAGATAAAAGCGAAGTGAAGTACCTTATCTATGATACAATATATACATGTGAATTTGCATGAGAAAAAAACCTTCGTTGGGCCCTAGGAAAAAAACTCAGGGTTTATCAAGTTCTATTCTCATGATAGTGAGGCTTCTTGCGACTATTGTATACATTGATTGCGGAAAAAACCTCAATTGATGGATTGTTTATTTGTTTTAGAAAGCAAATGTTATTACCTTATCGAAATAGTGTATTAACAAGTATATTTCGACCATTTTTTATTGGTCGTGGACGAACAATTATTTGTTGTAATGTTAATCCATGTGCGACATTTATTTCACAAACAAATGATTTATTGAAGTTTAGTGCTCTTGCACAAAAAGTATGCATAATTAGATTATTAAGCAGAAAGAATAAAGATTTCATATTTATGTTTTATTAGACGATTATTGTACCAGTAGAACCACCACCGAAAAAAGTTGTGGTAGAATCGAAAATCAAAGGTCCAAAACGATTAGGTCAAGGAGTACGTGGTGCTGCGCTAGGAAAAAAGAAACATCATCAAACAGTTGATAGTGATGATGTTGAAGAACAATCAGGTAAAGATTTTATAACAGAAATCTTTAATTACTTTTTATTTTAGCGATAATTATTGATGGATTACCCGTACCGATAGATGTACAATCGGTAAGTTTATTGTAGAATATTAGTTTTTGAATTTTATATAAAGAATCGATAGGAGTAATCGATAAGTCCGATATGAATTAGTCTTATGACAAATACACAGAATTTATTTCGAGATGATCTAGGCTTTGACTTGAAATTTAGCACAAACATAGGTCTTAAACAGAATAGTTCATCATGAAAACTTTAGGCCTTTGGATTATTCCTATAAAGGCATTGATTTATAAAATATCATCAAAATGCAATATGTCAGTAGCCATAAGGTGAGACTTCTGTCGTTAGAAACATTTTGAAGTCAAGCCCTGAAAACTAGTTCAGGATCCGATGATCTTTACATGATATCCTTTAATATACCTTGAACTCATTGTATTTCCTAAGAATTTCTCTCTTTGATAAGTTCTAAGGTATAGAATAAACAATAAGAGAAAAGAAATGAATTGATTCTATTTATTGTTAGATTCATTATTGGAAATATTGTACAAAGAAAGCTATAGATCTTTTACAAAAGCAAGCATCAAATCGACGATTATATTTCATTGAACGACAGTATGTTTTAATTTTGTTTTTTTTATTTCCATTTTCCTTAATTTTTTTTTCTTTTCATTTTATAGTCAAGAACGTACAACCACTATTCAATATATTCTTTATCAACGTGAACAAATCGAACAATTAATTGATGAAAAATTAATAGTAAATTTAAGATCATTTTTTTTTTTTATCTTTTATCAATAAAAAAATTTTCATTTTCATATTTAGTTAAATCAACAAATTGAATCACTTAATAAAACAAATCAATCTGAACAAGAAAATTCTAAACATATGAAAGAAAAATATACTGAAATCGAAATAAAATATAATGATTTATTAAAAAAATATAATCAATCAAATCATGATAATGATACATTACGTTCACGTTTAAAAAATCTTCAACAAAAATTTGATTGTCTAAATACAGAATATAATACAATAATTGAACAAAATCGTCAATATGAACAAAATCAATTTAATGATAAAACTCATTATAATGATGAAATTAAACATTTAAAACATAATTATGAACAAGAAAAATATGAAAAAATTCAAAAAGATAAAATTATTGAACAATTAAATGATAAAATTCTTTCCGAACAAAATCATAATGAAAAAATTCAACAAGAATTAATACAATTAAAACAAGATTTGAAAAACATCCATTCAAAATATGACTTATTACAAGTTGAATTACTTCAATTACGTGAAACAAAAACTAATGAACCAATTATTATTGCTCAATCTTCATCATCAACATCACATCCGACAACAACATCAACGACACGTTTATTACGATCGAAAAGAAGTGCTCATGAAGAGGTGGCACTACTTTTCTTATCTTTTTTATTTAAATTCCTTAAATTTTACGTAGGATACACAAGATAACAAGAAAGCTAAACATGGAACACCTGATCGACCTGCAGGCAACAGTGGTCTTACGAATAAACCAAGTACTAGAAAAGTACCATCAAAAGCTGCTGTAAGTTTTAATTTAAAGTAAAAAAAAAGTAAAGCTCATGGACATTAAAGATGATGCTGGTTTACTTGGAAGAAGATGAGTAACCTTGTAGTATGAGGTATTGTCTCTCGAAAATAATTCAAGACATTGTTAGTGACTAATCCAGAGTCATTTCATGGCTGGTAGTACCAATTTTTCAATACAGTACCTTGTGTGTATATTCCGAGTAATGCAGCTACTCAATCATGTCAGTTCTGGTTTGCTTATGTAATTCCAACTTGAAAAAGCTTTCTTTTAGTCTTGGATGTTTAAAACATTTCTTTTTTTTTTCATCGATTAATATTACTAGGTGAAAAATATCCTAATTAATGCACTGCTTAGAAAAGATATAGGCCAACTGTTTTCTCACTTTTCAAACACATATTTTTTGTTAGACATCTATCTTAGTAGTATTTCAAATACAAAACTATCTAAGAGATTATTTTTTCTTCATATTGATCTCGATATGATATACTAATAAAAAAAACTTTCTTAAAAAACATTTTAGACCGAAGATGAACGCAAACCGACACCACCTATTCTTGTCAAAGATGGTAATTTGAATAAAATTTTTAAAATAATTTAAAAAAATTTTTTTTTTTTATTATTGCAAATAGCTAAAACCAAGAGTGCTTCAATATTAAAAAAACGACCATTAGCAGCATCAAATAGTGCTGATTCTCCGATAGTCATAGCTCAATTAGCTGCTCAATCAACATCATCCCCTATTAATCTTCAACCACCTCCATCAATGCAAAATACAATGAGTCCAAAACCATCAGCTATTCAGCGTATTCAATCATTCTTTCGACATACACCACGTAAGACTTGTTTTACTTTAATTCAATTATATATAGTCGTTTTATATTTTAAAGCATCAGCATCAAACCGTATAATTAATCATTTAAAAACAAATTCAGCTGGCATGGCATGTGCTCCATCATCGTCATCACCAATACCAGCTAGTCCGATTGCTGTTCTACAAAAATCTTCACTTGCTATGAGAAAACAAACACCTAAACGACGATATAAACTACGTAATCGTGTTAATTCAAATCAATGATAAATCGATTTTATATTGTTAAATAAATATATTCTTTTCTAATGCATCTGTTTCGTTCTCATTTTTTTTCTTAAACGTATTATATATATATATGTATTTGTATATCTCTTAGGTATTTTTCCCATTGTCTTCTATGCTTTTTTCTCTTTCCCACCTTGTATATCGCTGTGAGCATGTAAGTGAAATTCATGTTTATCTTCCTTTCATCGAAATTGAAATGTGTGTATATGCGATATATATATAAATGTTTGAAAATAAAGAAATCTATTAGTAGTTTTTATTTCATTTATCAGTGAAAAATAAGTTTCTTCTTTATTGTATCTTACGAAATAACGGATGATTCATAAGCAATGGAACAATTTAGTTTTCCGTTTAAGGTTTCGCTTTGAAAATAAGTTTTCTTTGTTGACGAAAAATTGGAAAGATTGAGAATTATATTTCATTACTCAAATGTTAAGTATTTGGCATTTATACAGGGTGTCACAGAAATAACCTAACCAAAAAAAAATCGTTTATCTCTGTTACGTTTCAGCCAATTGAGGTGATCTTTTCTGTGATGATAGAGGAGACTTACAAGTTTTCATTCGCAAAAGTAAAGTTTACGAACAATGCTGAAAACCATTACTATCGACTTCAATACACAACTGAAGCCTTTTCCAGTATGATTAAACAATATACAACGTTTTTTATTCAGTTATATCGATTATTTCATACTTCTCGATTTTAAATAATCCAGATTTTCAACTCTTGCTTTACAAACACTTGTTCAGATCTTTTCTTATAGAAAGAAAAGTAACAACGTAAAGCTTGATGACTGCGCAAACTGTGAAATTGCTCATTCCTTGCAATTAATCAGTCATCAATGTTTCCCTCGTGCTGGGAATTAATGCCTCTGTAGAAATGTATTGTTAATTGTTTTTCGTTCGAAAAATGTTTAAAAAAAAGGTTTTAGAGCAAGAGTGAAAGATTTGGATGAATTGAAGTAGCAAAGCAAAAAACCTTGTATATTATTTTACCATACGCAATAAAAGGCTTCAGCTTGGTATTGAAACCGATAGTAATGGTTTTCAGCATCATCCGTTAAATTTATCTTTGCGAATAAAAACTTGAAAGTCTTCTCTACCATCACAAAAAAAAAATTAGCGCACTTGGCTGAAACACTGTGAAGATAAACAATTTTCTTTTTGGTGGGTAATTTCTAGGACACTCGGTATCTGATAATAGATTTAATACAAAATCTTTCAGCTTCGAAAAAAAATAGACGGAGAGAAGGGAAAGATCTATGTCGAAGGTGTACTAATTTAGACGTACAGAGAAGGACATGCCCATAGTAAATCATGGTTTAATTTGCAATTTAGTGGTATTTATCATTTCACTCGAAAAAAGTCTCTTATTTATTCCTTCGAGTTTTCCAAAGAAAAGATAAACCTAATTATATGAAAAGCCAAGAACCTTCCAAAACTGGACACCTTTTAGGGTGGACACTTTCAGAATTTCCCTTGCGTGTCCACTTTGAGGAGATCATACAGTATATGAAAGATAGATCACTCGTCTCATAAAAAAAATCTTATTTTTGAGCAAATGAATTCTTCTTGAAAGATTTTTGCAAACTGGACACTCATGAGAGAAAAGGAACCAGCCAAAATTGGACATTTCTGGAGAGAATAAAGGGGTAAGGATCGGAAATTATGATTTTTACATGAAAGTCCTTTATGGATGATCCTTAGTTCCAGACAAGACTATCATCCACCGATTTTTGACTTAATTTATTTCGATGAAGACGAAGAACATTCTCTGGTCGAATAGGTTGAATCATCCATGTTTTCTTTTTATTCTGTACCAGCAATATGTTCGATGGTATTATGAAAATAGTGAACAATTTCATTTTGCAATTCAGCAATTATTCTAATAGACGCAGCGAGAAGAATATTACTTTTATCTCTCAATGTATTGAACAATAGTGTTACCAAACTATTGCTCTCGGTGAACTTCTTTTAAATTTAATGCATATGAAGTGTGTAAAAATTTTCGTAAAGTTGTCATTTTATATGTTGAACGTTACTCGTTCTTAGATGATGCAGACTTTTCTTTTCAACTGCATCTTTTTGTTTAATACAATAACTGAATTTTGCTACTAAATAATTAGTAAAGACAACAATTAGATGGAAGTTTTTACATTTTCAGAATGAATTCGTTAAGAGTATTTGAAGTGTGAAATTTGTGACATTGAAAAAGTGTAAAAGAAGGAACAGGTTTTTTGTGTTCACATATTTCCTCAATCAAGCATGAAGGTGTCGGTGTGGGTGTGAATGGTTTTGGACATGCGGATGTGGGCGATCTTTCTCTTCACTCATACCCACATTCTTACTCTTTAATAAAGAATTATCAAATGAAGAAGTTTTAAATTTCTTTGGTCTCCTTTATATTAAATTCTTAAATGGAAAAAAAACTTTTCGTGAAACAATCGATTATAGTTTATGTTATTGTATTGTTTTTTCACATGTATGCTGACGACAAAAAAGGAACAATCGGTCACATACATTTTTTTCTTTTCCTGTTATTCTCTCTTCCTCCATTTATATTTTCTTGACTGCTGACTGGCGTAAGAGAGAATAATCGTTAAGAATTAGAATAAACCTCAACCGTCGTATCTCATATGCATTGAGTAAAGACAAAAAGAGCTATAAATGATTGATAATAATGATGTTATTCATTCGACGATATCATCATTTATCGCCACTTGTGCTGCACTTTCATCCTCTTCAGCTTACCATCCTTCGCTAAAAGGATTTTCGTAGACTACACTTTCGCCAATTGGTGAAGTTCAGCTAAGCTTCCACCAATATTCGCAAAGATCAACTATTGACAAAACGTTAAAAAACTTTAGCCGCATAATTGAAGAGAGTTAAGTGGACTTCCGCCAAATCACTCTATGGATATTGGCCAATTAGTGATTGTTCAATGATCTTTCCCCAATATTCCCTCCAGACTTTCACCAATAATTAAGGAAAGTCTTATTGGCAGAAAGCAGCAACCACTCTTTCTTTCTCTTTCGCCCTCCTCCTTATCTTTGCGCTTCCCATCTTCTCCTGCAATTCCCTTCCCCTGTGCTGCCGCTTTATACAAGACCATGGCGTGGCTTTGCATTTCTGTCAGAGGGACTAATAATCCACTTCGTAGGTAGAAAAGTGCATGGAGAGACCTTTGACATACATATGTGTCCCTCTCGTCGTCACCATCTCGTATGTACGACAAACATGCATGTATGATCGCCTGATCATTTCCAGCATCGTCTACTGTACTACACGAACAGGATCCGAGGGTCTCTCTGACCACGGACGCCTGAATAAAACATTAAAAAGACAACAACAACAATTTACAAACATTATAGAAAAACGTTGAACGAAATTTATTAATTGTAGTGAAAAAGTCAATTACATTTTCTCTTTCACAAGTTCAATGTTTCTTTTTGAGGCTGCAATATCTGAATGCGTTGGTGGAAGAGGTTTTTGACGAATATCGAGTGATTTTTCGTAAAACTCCAGTGCTTTCGAGTACTCGTCCATGTTTTTATGCACACCACTGATGTTGTTGTACGAAGTAGCCAAGTCGGGATGATTCGGAGGAAGAGTTTTTTCCTAGATATGGAGTGATTTTTCGTAAAACTTAAGTGCTTTCGAGTACTCGCCCATGCTTTTATGCACACCACTGATGTTGTTGTGCGAACTAGCCAAGGAGGGATGTTTCGGAGGGAGAATTTTTTCGAAGATATTGAGTGATTTTTCGTAAAA